GTACAGATGTACGATTTCACAAGATCACGAGATGATGGAAGGGGGGTCCAGGACACAGGTGGAGGGCTTCATCCTCCTAACGATGCCCTCAACCTCTCGCTGAGAGATGTCCGTGAAACAGCGAAGAGGCTGGGTTGTCCCAGGCTGTGGGTCAGCAGTTGGAATTGGAGGTGCAGAGGGGCTAGAGAGGATGGAGCGGATGGTGTCAACTTTGTTTATGAAGAAGGCGGTGAAGTTGCTACACTGCTTCTCAGTGGAGTCAGAGTGTAGAGGACTTTGGGGTTTGAGGAGGTGGTTTATGGTGGAGAAGAGTTGCTTGGAGTTTCCAGTACTGTTGTTGATGATGGAGGAGTAATACTGGGACCGTGCATCTCTGAGGGACTGTGCGTAGGCCTTCTGGTGTTCACGATAGGCTAATAGGTGAACAGTGAGTCCTGAGGCCTTGAGCCGCCGCTCAAGGACACGCCCAGCTGTCTTCATTCTCCGCAGCTGTTTCTGGCGTGATTTGACCCCGCCATGACCGGGCTCTGATGACGCGTCAGATGTGCGACACAACACTGCATCTACGTGCTGGGAATATACAGTTTGTCGTCTTCTTTGGCTTCGGTGGATATAGCGATGCCGACGAAGAAGTCCAAGTTGTTTAATGACTGAGGTGCAGGTTGGAGCGTTGGACTGGTTGAAACTCAGGAGTTGGGGAATAGAAAACCTCAACATGTCAACAGGTCGGGCACCGAAGAAGTTTGGTAGTGGTGCTTAGCAGCGAGGGCTAACAGCAACGAGACAGCTGGAAGGCTATCCCGTTAGTATACCTCACGTCTGGGAATGAAACAGAGGCTTGGGAGTCCGCCTGCTATCACACTAGTAGCGGGAGAGAGGCAAGCAGTCACCTGGAGATAGTCGGCGAATTTGGGCGATACAGCAGGTGAGTCCCGACAGCCGTCAGGTCCAAAACCGTCAATAATCACGAGGTTTAAGATATAAAAGCACTTGTTAAACAGACTAAAAGTTTAGCCATATAACTATAGTTTAAAAGCAGAAAAATAGCTTAAAAGGAGATAAAAACTCTGAGGCGTATGAGAAGCGGCAAACAAACAAGCGCCAGCGTCCTCTCCAGCGTACATCCTCGAAGTTGGGATAGTGCTTCCATAGACCAGAAGAAGCTGTGAAACATAGTCAGAGTTAAGGAGAGCTTGTGAGTGGTGATCCGATCATATATATCAGGACCATTGCCATTTCTCCACAAAACATTATTGACATGTTTTGTGGCTCCGCTAGTGCCTGTATAATCAGCTGATACCCATATAGTCAGAGACAACTGTTCATGCCCGGCACAATCGCGAGTTTCATCCACAATAACTGCATAGTGTTTTGCATTGCTTTTCATTTCAGTTAAGAGAGTGGTGAGAGACTCCCGATACATTTCATGTATACGTTCATTGATTGTCTCGTGTGATGCATATTTCCCGGTGAGCATGAAGCTTTTCAGAGTGCGACTAGCTTTTCGAAATTGCTCTCCTTATCCTCATGCCCCAGGCTCTGGAACACTCTGCCCCTCCATGTGAGGTCAGCCGAGACATTAGGGTTTTTTAAATCCTCACTAAAGACACACTTCTTCTCCCTGGACTTCTAGTCAGAGCGGAGAATGACACCTGACTATTCCCTGCGTTTTTTTTATATATCTGTTGTAATTTATTGTCTTTTATTGTGATTGTAGTAATGTGTTTTTATTACATGTACAGCACTTTGGCTCGACCAAAAATTGCTTTTAAATGTGCTTTATGAATAAAACTTGATTTTGATTTGATGCCCCTTGATTGCTAGGCCCTGTCGGGTTAGAAACTGCAGACAGCGCAGTTGCTCCATCATTCCATCTCTCCTTTTTTCCTGCTCAATACGCTCTTGTTTGACAAGTTGAATGTTGACTGGTGTTTGACTGAAGTAAGTGCACTTTTTTTGAACACACTGTGAAAATAAGACTTTTCGTGGCTGTCCAGGAGGCTTGGGCACATTTTCCAGTTATTAACTCAACTTAATGATTTATATGTGTACACATATTTCACTCAAATTATTCAATACATCCTTTGTGCTGAAGTATGCAAAAGTAAAAATTACATTTTTAATATAAATGATTTACTGTGGCCAATTGTTTTCATTGCATTTACAGACCCTTGTAACGCTCTAATACCACCCAATGAATGCATTAGCTTGTAGAACCACGCTACACAAAGCAGATAGCAACACCTATAAAAACTTAAGCAGAGACATTTAAAAAAGGACAGCTACTGTATCAACATTTTAAAAATGTATTTAAAGAAAAAGCCCTAACAAAACAGCAGGGCTCTATTTCAGTATTAACTAAAGAAGAAAAGACAGCAACAGCTGACATCAAATCTTTGCTGAGCCTAAAGATAATCATAAATAAATAACATAGTGAAAATAAATATATTGCAATGCTCAAAACAGCAGCATCCAACAGTCTCTAATCCTTGGATATTACATGTCACTGCATGCATGCACGGAGCACCCGTAGCACGGAGATCATCATATCATTCTGTCTTGTATTACTTAAAAAAAAATCCCCCCAAAAAATGGCTCGGGCGCGAGCCGGCTCCCGTCGTTCACACGAACAATCCTTCTCAGATCGCGTTCATTTTAGATGCAACTTTAGAGTAGAGGGGAATTATTGAAAGGGGATGTAGTGTTCTGCGGCATCTGCCGCTGCGAAAATGTGGGGCAGGGCTGTAAAGCAGGGGGGCCATTGGCCCCTTGGCCCCCCTGCTTCCAGCGCCACTGCCTGGTTGTCATCCACTTGAGTTTTGGAATGGTTGCTCAGTAATTGCTTTCAAATGTCTATCAATAGCTCAATGTATCTCCATTATTCCTTATGCTTAGATATACAGATGTCAATCATACAACAACACGGTCAATTATTTATACAATTATGAGTAAAGTTTTAGGCCATGACAAGCAGATAACATATGAACCTTGAATTGGTTCTTCCAAGAATAGAGGGATCTTTCAAGACTTTTGAGCAATCAAAAACATGAACATTGAGGTATGCATTCATTAAAAATGCAGTTGAACCTTAGATATACCAGTATGTGGTAAAGACATCCTTCATTTTTCATTAAGCTAACACAAACAGAACACTGTGTGCCTGTTAACGCATCGCACACACCTTCGGCTTCTCTCATATACCATTTTAAAAGTACAAGAATAATAAAATACTCTCCATATTTTACACTATTATAAAATGTTCTCTTAATTACAAACTTCTTAATGAAAATCTCCCATGTTTCATTACCGTAAATGTACTTTTAACATCAACATACATTTAGTGACTGTGTTTGTGTATGTGTGTGTGCGTGTGTTTGTGTGAGCATGTGTGTGTGTGTGTGTGTGTGTGTGTGTGTGTGTGTGCGTGTGTGAGCAGTTGTTGACATCAAACTTTGACTAAATATATCCAGTTCAGCCTCAGAGGACCTCATTCAGTAACTTTGTTACAGCATGACGGTGTGTATTACTTTTATTTCCAAACTGAGCACATCAATTGAAGAGTGGCGCCATTAACAATTTAGTATTGGATTTGAACTGTATTTGATTTGAACTGTATTTTGACTCAGCAGTTCAACAGACTAGGCTGGGATTAGGGACTGTAGCAATTTGGTAATCAATGTAATGTGTGGTTTAGGTGTTACAAATATGGGAATGTGTGACAAGCAAGATTCATACGATGACAGCTGTTTTATCTGAATGTGTCCAACACTAGCTAAACCAAACCCTAACCCCACACCCACACATTCCCATGTTTCATTTTTAGGGCTTGGAGAGCTTTGAGCATCATGATACTTTGAGTATGTCGTGAGTCTTTAAATTAACTCTTGTTTCCTGAAGGAGGAACTCAATGACCTTTCTGTAATAACAGCGTATCAGAAATGTGTCTGCCTTAACTGGTCATTAAATAAATATGTTGATAACATTCTCTGCAGTGCTTGTCACCATTTCTGCTGCCATTTTCCTCTCACTTTGTTTCACATACGAAGCTATAGAGTGTTGCAGTGATGACGTAGCCCAACAGTTAGCTTCGCAAGGGCTCCTTCGTCAAAAAGCAATGGGTTTTTCTATTGGATTTTGGAATATTGCAGAGTAATCTCTGTGGCAAATACCATTTATGATACTTACTCTTAATCACCAGAATAAAAAAACTAAAATTAGGCTATAAACAAACTACATCACAGTCACATGGCTGCGCATCAGCACAACTAAGCTAAAAGTGGCTAATGTTTGGCGTGATGACGTTTTGTAGTCTCATTTAGTCACTTGTTAGCCACTGCTGTTTTTATGACTCATAGAAGCTTCGGACATCACAGTTGGGGTGTTTACCGATGTATTTTATGTCGTAGAACAAATCTATTTAGCTTGTGTTAACCAATGATCTTATTTCAGGCATCTAACTGAAAACACGTTCAAAAAAGGTTGACTTGGAGATGAGGGAACCAGAAGCAGTAAAATGCTAACTTTTTAATTCAAATTTCCGGGTTTCAAGACTCATTCGTGCACCACTCTATGTAGACGATTATGTACACATTTGTGATCCCGCCTACCAAGCCCTGATTGGTCAATTATTTCTGGAACAAGAGGGAACAACCATCACTGAAGAAGGCAGCTAACCTGTCATTATAATTACAACTACTAACAACAAAGATTGCTTTGAAGTAAGTCTTAGTTCTCTCGATAGTTGTTAATGGCTTCAATGTCAACGTTTTACTTGACTTGCGCTCAAGAGAGAAAACAAACGTGGTTTCCTGCAGCCCCCCCAGGGCACCAGGGCTGTTCTGAGCGGGGTCAGTTAAAGAGCATTTCTACTGTCAGAGGTCACTAAACACAAGCACACTCTGTATAGTATTTCAACCAGGTTATTGTGATTCTTATTCTGATGGGTGATAAACTAAAGGATAAAACAGTAGTAGCGTGTTGACAGAGAGAATGAGCCTCTGTTGCATCATATAGCTGATTTTATTTCATAAACAAAACCATGACAATGACTCAGTTTGACAGTCAGACGAAAACATGTTGCGGTCATTGGAGGCAGAATGTGAAGCAGAAAGAGCTGTTTGCCCACATTTCTGACTGTAAGGCAATATCCCCAGAGCTCCAGCTACAAAGACAAGGCCTCATGCACACACACACAGTTAACAGTGTGTGTGTCCATAAAGAATATTAACTGTGTTTCTACACCCTCCATTTAACAATCTTTTCCATCTTATGCACATCCTATCAGAACAACTGTTGACGAGATGATTTGTAAATCTGAATAATGATAAATGTGATTCACAGTGATTGCTTTCCCATATTTGCAAAGAGAAAAATCTTAGCCAATCAATATCGAAGAACTGACCAACCTTATTAAATAATGTTGTTTTATGTTAATTTTTTGTATACATTTATTTTTAAAGTATATGAAAAGCCTTGAAACTAATGACTGATTGGACTGATTTAGTTTATACAAAATCTACATTTTTAAAGTATTGCAAATATCATCAAATCCCTTTTTAAAAACGTTCAACCCATTGAATTTGTCTTCAATATATTTTGTTGTTTTAATGTTTTATAATACAACTTGGGCGCTATTTTAATATTACAATTGCAACAACCAGTGCAGAGCTGCAGGTCAGTGTGTGGCGTCTCCACCTCTGCTTCATGTAGGCGCAGTCTGTAGTGGAATATAAATGTAAGGGTGGGATGATATTCTCTTAATATGCACTTAATAAATACGCTCTCAGCCAATCACATCATTGCCTCAAACAGCTGTAGAGGCTGCAGATCTATCAACATGAGTCGTGCTGCCTTCAGGTGTCTGCAGGGATTTAAAGACCCGAAGAAGAAACCTTGTGCACAGTATAAAACAGCTATGAACAGCACATACTGAAGAAGAAAGAGACTTACAGTGTTTTCATTTCTAGATCAATGCTCCTGCTTTATCCACATTAAACTTTCATTTTACAATGTTGAAAAAGCAAGTGGTTGTTACATTTTTTAATTATAACTCCATTATTGTTGTGCAATTGCTGCAAATATGTATTTTGCTCATGTCAATGACACCCCAGATTGGCAGCCGACAGGAAACACAAACTGTCCGAGCGCTGCTTGCACTGGTCGTTGTGCTGACAAGCAAAAAGAGCCCTTCATGGTTAACTTCATAATGTTCTCTTCATGGTGAACGAGTCAGACATCCTGCAGTGGATGGTGATGTTTCAGATCGAGTACTTCACAAGCAATTTTGGATATGACATGATTTCTTTAAGACATCAAACTGACGTATGGCTTTTACAGGAGCATTTCAATGTTCAATCATGTTGCTCTCTATAAGTCTACAGTGATCAGTTCATACACGTTAGCATTTAATCAATAAATGATGAACCTGACAGTAACCCCGGCAACGTGTGGCAGAGCCGTCTGTCCTGCTGAGTCTGACTGGAGCACAGCCATCTGTAGTTGTCATGGTTACAGCCCCTCATAGTCCTGACTGTTAATGTAGCGTTCAGTTTTGCCATGGTTACAGTGTTATTATGTTGCCGTCCTCTCGCATGCTCTCCTGACTGCTACTAGATGTGTGGGCGGGGTTTCCGTTGTGATTGGACATCAAGACGGAGCTGTCGCTCAGGGAAGCCCCAACGCTATTGGGCAATGAGACGCTCTGTGGGAAGGGCCTGTTGCTAGGTGAGTCTCTGTTGAGGTTAGTGTTGTTGCTGTTGGTTACCCGGCTGGAGTCGTACAGTGTCAGGCTGTCATTCTCTAGGATGAGGTCGCCTTCGTCATCGTCGTCATCACTGTCGCCCTCGGCGATGCTGTTGCTGTGGTTGCAAAAAACCAGAGGGCAAAAAATAAGGATTACATTTAGACTTTTGTTTTTATGAGTCCAAATATTGTCTTTTAGGTCTCCACCACCTCCTGAGAGAAATATCTGTGTCTTTTTCTACTTAATGTATATATATTTGTGCCTGTATGTAAAAAATGTATTTAGTTGTTGTTCAATTGTAGGTTACAAAGTTGACTTTACACTGGAGAAGACCGAGCCAATGAAACCAAACCATGATTAATATTGTTTGTTTGTTATACACCAAACAGTTTTAGTTGAACCACCTTAAAAGTTACTTATAAATATGTAAGGTCTAATGCTAACACATTTTGAACTACCTTCTCAACAGATGTTCATGCGTTTTTTGAAAATGATGGGAACATAGCCGACATCAAAGCAGAAAAATGTGCGCAATGTGTCAAGTGATCATGAACAAAATGCAGACATTCAACATGAAATATGAGTGAGGGGTCCTCTCAATGCCATACCTCGCTGTGATGGGGTTGCTCTGGGAGGCGGGGCTTGGTGAGTCATGTGACAGAGCGGAGCCGGCAGATCCAGCTGAGCCCACAGAACCAGAGTTGCCCATTGAGGTTCTACTCCCACGATGCACCACGTTGTTCTTCTGGTTGGCCGGTTTGACGGTCACTATGAGGTTGTGACTGTTGGCCACCATCATGTCTGTAACCTGAAATCAAAGCATTTGTCGTTTTTAGCTTGTAACAGCCACCCCTAACCCTAACTAATTTAAAAACAAAGACACCTTTCCAAAGCGCCAAGGCAAATAGCCCTAGGAAAGGTATTTGCAGTCTGTTTCACGGTAACAAATAAACTGCACCTTCAATCCAACACATTTTAAATGTACCTGATCTAAGGATTTCCCAGCTACATCGATGCCGTTGACCTCGAGTATCTCGTCATTGACTCCCAGCAGCCCTGTGCATTCTGCGAGCCCCCCACGTACCAGACGAGAAATGAACACCCCTGGGACCTACAGGAGGACGGAGAAAAAAACCTCAATGTTGCAGGTATACATCTCTCGGTACCACTTTACAATAAGACTACCCTTATAAACGGTTTACGAATATTTTGTAATTCATTTATTAATTAGGTTGTGAACACTTTACAAATCATTAATAAGCTTTTACAAGACATGAGATAAACAGGGCAACTGACCGGTTGCTTGCCAAATAGTGAGCCCACATGTATCTGTACAGCTCAGTCTTATATTGGCTAGTTTACTTTGTCTTCTTCATCAGCCAGCATCCTTGGTATCTGTTGCTCACTGAGTTGATTCTCGCTAAGTAGCCAATATAAGGCTTAGTCAGCTTGCCAAATAGTGAGCCTGTGTTGACGTATGAAAACTATGTTAGAAGTGGTTTATAAATGGTTCTTAATGATTAATAAAGTGTTTACAACCTAATTCATAATCTAATTATAAACCCTTTATGAATCCTTTATAAGGGTAGTCTTATTGTAAAGTGGTACCCATCTCTCTATATCTAGGATTTTGGCATATTGTAGAAAATAAGATCTGTGGCAAACACATTTTGTTTGAACTGTTACAAAGTTGAAGCATTAATGGGATTGCCAAAAGTACGTAGCTAATGTTAGGCTATAAACAAACTACATAACAATCATGTGACTCACACAGTCTCATTTAGCCACTTGTTAGAACGTCTGTTTTTAAAACATGTAAACATTTCACACGTTCACTGAACTTTTTCACATTATTTTATGTCTTAGAAGAAAACATGAAAATCTTATAACTAATATGAATCAAAGACCTTTAATCCTGAACATTTTCTCTCACCTTCTCTACGCCCTGTTGTGTCACCCTCACGCTCACTCCGTCCCGGATGTAGAAGCCCAGGGGTTTGTGGGTGCCGTGCTTGTGGAGTCGTACGCGCCGGTGTGTCTCAGGTAAGATGTCAACATCGATGATTGACGAGATCTGTCTGAAGTTCTGAGGCAGGCCGATCATCAGGCCCGGTTTGTTCTTGGAGCGCGTGGAGTCGAAGCCGCTGGAGCGCAGGCCGGTTAGGCCCAGACCCTTTTTACGCCTCTGGAGGGAGTTGGTGGCAAAAACTATGGGTTCATCCTCTGCAAGGGACAAACAAAGAGAGGGAGAGAACACATGATTATTTATATTGTAGGTTTAAGCAAGAATCCTGCAAGTACATAGCTTTCAATAAGCCAAAGGTTTTCGTTTTTAGCCAAGGTGCCGTGGTAACAGGTGGGTTTTCAGGCTGTGACAGAAGATGTGTAGACCAGCTTTTTGGATCCAGGATATAATACTGTCTGAGAAATGAAACCTGACAAACTTCTATCAACTGAAGCCTAAAGCTCAGTCTCAGAAGTGATCAGTCAGTGTGGAATATAGAGGTGTGTGTAGATGAGGAGACTGCTGAAGGTTATTCACACACATCAGAGCAGGTTTATCTTCATAATCTAATGAAGTAGAACAGTACTTTTCAATATTTTTCCTTCAATTTTTATGTGGAGGGAGATTAACACAATTATTATTTTGGGTCAAATTTCATATCTGGACCGTACGTGCAAGGGGATATTTATATGTTCACATAATGTCCTTATCTCACCATGTGCACATATCTATTTCCTCTTCCATTCTTTTGTTTATTTTTACATGTCTCGCACTTTGCAAGAGCACCAGAAACATATTAGATTACAAGAAAGATGGAATAATAAATGAATATCCCTGACTTATTTTTTCTACAACCAATTTCACTACTCCAACTCCTTAAAGTTGAAGTAGGCCCTATTCTGCTCATTTTCAGGTTCATATCAGTATGTAGTGTCTCTACATGTCTCCATGCTTTAATGTTCAAAAAGCTCTTTACTTTTCTCATACTGCCTGTGCTGCAGCACCTCTTTTCACCCTCTGTCTGAAACCAGAGCCCAGTCTGCTCTGATTGGTTAGCTGGCCGGCTCTGTTGTGATTGGTCAACCGCTAGAGATGTCCCGCCCCCGTACAATGTGTTAAAGCGCTTGCAAATAGAAGCGTAAGTGTTACATAGTGATGTCACTATGTTACTGAAGTAAACAAAGGAGTCCAATGGAGGTGTACACTACAGTAGTTACAAGAAAAAAAAAATTAACTTTTAGAAGTAAAAAGTGTTACTTCTAAGACTTGATCTACACTAATAACTACAATAAAACTACACGAGGAACAACTAGTAATTCAAACACTACTATTATTATAAGCAGCATTGCTCTGATTGTTTCAAGAATCATTTGTTGATTACGTTTAATAAATTGAGGACTAATTTATTAATAGCCACCGTTAGGGAAATAATTGTCCTAGACTCCAAGATATGACGTGCATGACCAACCCTGACGTCTGTTATCTCCTTTAAGGAGATAGGCTGCTTCAGCCATAATGTTGTTGTTCCCATTCTATGACCGGGCAACACTAGGTCACAGATGGTTTATTGTTGTGGGTGCACTGGGACACTTCCTTTTCGGTGTTTGTGGACTCCAAGGTATGAAATCTTCGAGGCCATAAGTGACGGACGCAAGTAACTCAGTGTGCCCAACTGTCTAAGCTATCTTATCAAAATATGTTGATTACTCTCTGTGAAACCAGTTGGGCTAACGAGAGAGAGGCGCTCTAGAATTGACGTGGCAACTCTCCCGTGCAGTCAGACCGTGGCTGCTGTGACTTGTGATGGGAATCCTCCGGCCGAAACTCCAAATAAACCATCAGTGTTTGACATCAAAGCTCCTGCTCTTCCCGTGTCTCCTTCCTGAGTCGGTGACTCCCACTGCATTGCTACACAGAAGTTTCCCTTACAGCCATATTCCAGGTAAAATCCCAATAACCTATGGTGATATACCATATATTCTTAAATATAAGATCGTATTTATATAATGGCTGATAAGGTTAAAAAAACATTTATTTTTGAGGAAAACTGTACATTTTGTACGATGAACACTTCCACAGCACTTTCTCTTTTTAGCTTAGATCCAGTTTCTATTCTCTAATTTCCTCCAGCTGCTCTGTTTCTCTCCGTCAGTAACGCTTATACTTCCTTCAGCAGAGTAATCCTTTCCTCTCTGGTTCAGATGAAAAGCCACTGAGGTTTTTAATGTGACGTGTTGAGACTGATTGATAGTATTTAAGTAGAAGAAACAAAAGCTACACTGAAAACTATTGTCATCATTTGTTAAGAGAAAAGTCTTTCTGTAAAAACATCAAATTAGAGCTGAATTGATAGAGTAAGTCTTTTCCACTTTAAATGATGTTGCACTGCACATTGTACTTTTCATAGTCATCTGTCCTATTCGCATATATTTTATATATTTGTATATTTTTTATATATTTGTATATTTTTAGTGTATCTATATTTCTTCCAACATTTTTTAGTAACATTTATTTTTTAGTATTATAGTTTTTATAATTGTTCTTTTTTTTCTTTCTAGTTCTTGTTGCTGTGTTTATGTATGCACTTTAACCCAGGCAAACTCCTCGTATGTTTAAAGCTACTTTGCAATACACCCTAATTTGATGTTCTTTTGCAGAATTGATCAAGACAGATAACAACAGTATAGGAGTATTGATCTTGCATTAACAGCGAATGAAAACATGAGCAGATCAGAAAACAGGTCCTACTAAAACATGAGTTTATCCTTTGTCACGGCTGTATGTGTTTCCTTTATCATGGTATATTTGATATACGTATATATATATATGTGTTTCTGGTGGAACTTTGTTAGCCTCTTAGAGCCGCCTAATGGTGGGGTATAACACCTTATGAAACAGGGGGGTTATTGATAAAGGGGGCTGTAGTTGAAGTCTGACTTAGTGCCAGAAAACTATGCAATGTATAATATCACGGGGGGAGGCAACATTAAACTCTTCTACCTAAGTAATTGACGCTAATATTTTTTACAATTCCACAACAATATTACAATATAATTTGTGTATTGTTCTATGAAACTACTGTCCCATCCTCATGCTGAGGTTTTACTGTAGTCGTACTAACTCGCCAGATTGATTAAAGATTAATAGCAAAGGATTGTAGAAGATTTCTAGAAATATTTGTGCCTGAGCAAGCTGTGGAGGGTTCAGACTCAGATTAAACGTTTAATCTCATCTATAATCCCATCGCTGTTCAGCAGCTGATGATTCTTTTTTGGCCTCCATCTCTGAGGTATCAGCTGCCTGTCGGAGTGTGTGCACGCATACACACTCTGGATTATTACCAGTGGGGAATAGGGCTGTACCCGAATATCCGTTCGTTGGAGTACTATTCGGGTTTCAATTTCGTTATTCGGATATCCGTTTTTCGGGACAAAAACAGCCCTAGTGGGGAACCCTATGAATGGCAGCCTTAATTGTAATCTGAGCACCATGAAGCATCTCTGTGCTGAACTGACAGGGATGATAGGGGGTCGGATTGAAAGGGTTAGGAGTTACTGGGTATCAGATGTGAACCTATCATCCAGTGATATGTTGTCGTACACGTATAAGGTTTAAACATGGGGTTTAAAATCAGATTTTTATGAGGAGGCAGGATACGAATCACAAATGTTCCCTTTTTCCGAAGACAATGATCCATCCCCATCACTTGACAGAGTGACAGGTTTTTAATTATACTCCTAAATGCTTGCTGAAGCTCTCTGGCAGAGAGCTGATACATAGTAACTGATACTTGTGGTGGAACAAATGTTAGTTACATGTTGCTGTTGTGGAAACTAATCTCTGCACATGCTTTGTAACTGCTTTCTGCACATGTCAATCCTTCTAATCTTTCTCTAATAGCAGTGCTGGCCCGATCACAACCCCCACATGATCCTAAATCAATCAAGAAAGATCCAGGAGATCAAACACCATCTGACCACAGACAGGGGTTACTATCTCCCCCCATACGCCACTGAAGCTTTGATCAAACCTGAAGTGTGGCTGAAACCTATAACGTCTGACAAACCATGCCTCAGCAGACAGTCAGGACACAGAACACTTTTGCCAGTTTTTGACTGTCAGACGGTCATTTATACGGCTTCACAAAACATTTGTTCTATTAGAGACCACCCTGTGATGGGATCAGCCTCGATGTCAAATCTGGCCAGGGGCATAAAGTAGGCCTATTCCCCCTCCCCCACTTCCTCCATCTCTACTTCCAGAGTCCTTGCTCAGGTTTACACCCATAGTCAAACTTTGCCTTAACTTCAATTTCAACTCCACACCTACTGTATTACGTGCTGTGACTGTAGCTTGCCTGGTTGTGAAGCTAACTTGGTGACAAAATGTATCCACAAAAAGACAGACTGGGAATTAATATACAGTCGGATTCAAATTAATCTCTTTTCTATTTCGATATTATTCAACCTGATTACATATTCCTGGTGCTAATATGTGTCTCCAGTTTTCATATTGAGATTGAAATTATATCTGATTGATCTATCCAAAAGAGCTGATTGGAAGCTGCATCACCAACAAAGAGGGGGGGGGGGGCGTAACACGCAGAGACATTGTTTAGGGGTAGAGGGATCATAAATGTTTCTATACTCGCAGTCTGACACACACACAGAGGGATGAAGAGCGCAGGGTTGACCATGCTCTTGCTCTTGGTCTTGCTGATTATTTTCTGATGCTACCAAAGCTCAAAACAAAGGAACCCAGGGTTGAAAACACATTTGCATTAACACTTGTTATACATGTTCAATGTTTTCACAATGTGTCCCTGATCAACTCTGGATTTTGTTTAAAACCCGTCATCAATACCTGTTCTTTCATGACGGAAGCCCTATTCCATTGCAATCCGATCAACCAAAGCCCATCTTCATGCAAGATGTACGGGGGTAAAAAGCACCTGTCAAAGTACTGAAACCAACTCTACAGAAGGTGTCTCCAAGAGCACCTGTAGTCATGATGACACACACACTCACAAGCTGAAAAAACAGAAGCAGTGTCGCAACTGGTAATTATATGTTTCTATCACTGTACTTATGAACTATTAGAAATCCACAGTCTGACGCATTGTAATTGTTGTGGCATTGCAAGATCAATATAGGGCATGCAAAGTCTAACTAGGCATGCAGACAGGCAACTGTGTGTTGTGGTGTTGCTATGAATCCAG